CTGACTAGTTTTATTCATAAAATCTCCATTTTTGGAGGTATTTTCAAATCGGTCCAGCTCGCTTAAATCTTAATATTTTTCCGAAATATTTTGGTGGACGTCTTAAAATGTTAATACATTTTGTCATCTCGGCGGAAAAGCCGCAACTTTTTTTGATGATGCAGCCTAATGTACATACATACATATATGCATGCATAAATACATACATATATAGCAGTAAAAATATTTACATACATACATACATACATACATGTTTATTGAAATTACTTGTTTGTGAAAAACAATACTAAGCAGAAGCGAATCGCGATAAATTCTTGGAATGAAAACTAAAAATGTCAAAATAATGTTGCGCATACGCCATGCAGTGCGGCCATACACCCGACACTCTTAAAGAGCATTGATTGTGAGCTGCAGAGAGCAAGGAGCACAAAGTAGCGAATCTAGTCAAAAAGCGGAAAGCGCGATAAAAGAGCATATAAATGTCATAGAGCATGCAAAAATGAGCGAATCACAGCACACTTGTTGATTTCCAATATGTCGCGCTCAAGCACTTCGTGCAATTTCTCAACATCTCCATCTTCAACGCAATTTCTTTCGCTCCTCCGCTTCTGCGTCTATTTTATCTCTTGCTCTCCTTCTTTTTCTCTAAACAAACAAATTCTAATTTTCGCTCACTTCAGAAACATTTGCATCAAATTTTTATACGCCCTTTTTTTATCGCCGTTTTTGTTATCAGCAATTTTTTGTTTGTAAACAAATATCAGCTGTTGGTTGTGAGCAGGCGGCTGTCATTCAGTGCCTAGCTAATTCCGCTTCCCCACCAAAAAGCCTGCTGAACTACCACCAAGGTCCGGCAGGCCCACATGACGACGACAGAGCGAAATTTCCTAAGACACATACATACATATTTGTTCTTAATTATTATTGTTGTTTTTTTTTTTTTTTGTACATTTTCTTTTATTGCATTCACGATTTCATACGCATGCAGATGCATAGATATACATACATATACTATTTATGTATGTATATACATACATATGTACATTCATATGTATGTATGCATTTGCATTTGTATTTTCAGTTACTGTTTGCTTATGACATGCCAGCGCACACCGCAGGCTGCTATTTTCGTTTGCCACATTACCGACTACTTGCTGATTTGCTGGCTTGCTGGCTTGCTGGCTTACTGCCTACTTGGCGTGCGTTTGTTTGCCCGCGGCTTTTGTGGCAGACGTGTCTACATGTACGCCTCCTTTGTGCGTGGGTGTTGTTGCATGCACACCAAAGAACAAACGGCTTTCTGAAATATATATGTACATATATGTATATACAGACATGACTTCATATATGTACATATGTACATTTGTATACACCCATGAGGCACATAGGTTTTAGTGTTGGACCACATATGAACGCTGGGCACCTCTTTCCTTCGCTAAGCGGCAATTGTGTTGTCAACACTGTTTGAAGTCGTCACATCGCATAGCGGGAATAATGACGTTGTCAAATGACGGTGCCGCTTATTTAATTAATAGATTTTTGACACTAACTGCTGTGCTTATGAAATTTAATTTGATAGGGAATTTCATGAGGCGATTTTTCAGGCAACTTTTAGTTGAAAGCAACAATCGGCTGGTGTAAGCGGCCTTTCAACTAATCGCTTTCAATGAAGTTGGTCGGCTGCCTAATTTCGTTCAACTTTTGATTCAACTAATCGCTTGTGAAAGTCGAATCATCTAAATTCCCTATCATCAACTAGGGATGTCGGAAAAACATCGATGCATCGAAAATATCGATGTTTTGCTTCGATGCATTGAAAATTTTCCACTCGATGTATAAATAGTCGATGTATCGATGTTTTTTGAAAACTGACATCTACGGTACATTGAACCGTCATTTCAGTTTTTCAATTGTTCAAAAAAAAAAAGAAATGACTTTGGCCAAAAAACTTAAATGGCTGCGAGAAGTTTCGCTAGAAACAAAATTAGCTCAGTTGCAGTAATTTATTTCAAATTTTCTACAATTTTGCTAATAACATATTTTGTTGTGAGACATTATCTGAAAAATCCTATGCAAATCGATGCATCGAATCAAAGAAAAACATCGATGTATTTTTGCCACTGACATCCCTATCATCAACACTGTGGCATTGTTAGTAAAGTTGAGGCAAGGCATTTTACTTAACAGCGAAACTTTTGTATTTTTCGTAAAATATCGATAAAGAAATCAAAAATACATACTACTTAATATCGATAGTTATAGCAAAAATTATAGCGACTTACATCAACATCGATAGTTATAATTTGTCAACGTTATCACTGTTATCGATATGTATAGGTAAATGTATCGATAATTTTATACAGAATTATTGAAATAACATTTGAGAACGTGCAGATGAATATTTATCTGAAAAAATATATATTTACATATGTATACATTTATGGGTAAGAGTACCGATAAATTATCGCAAAATCAGTATCCCTATCAATTACTAAATCAGTAAAGATATCGATAAATCTATGAATAATAGAGTGCAACACTCAAAAAGTGATGGGAATGAGACCAATTGCATTCATTAAAAGAGGTCAAAATATGAATAAATACCAACGTAAAAGTTGGTTACCATTTCCTTTTTACATCGATTTAAAGTCGTGAAATTAGAGTTCAAAAACAAACAAGTACAATAATTTTTTTTTTTGGTTTTTCTCATAAATTTCATACCTACATACATACATATATGTGTGTGTATACATTAGACCACGTCAAAATAAAAATAAAAAAAACGCGCAATGCGACCGGCATAAGACTCATATTTTAGCATTTGGTATAGTAAATTACCATTTATTATTCAATTTAGATGAATAGGGCCTTATTGTATTTGTGAAAGATCATGCTCTGACGTGCCAGAATCCAAAAGTTAACAGGTTCTTTCAGATTGATATTTTTTTTAACTTTGAATATTTTTTTTCTTTGTTTTAACTTCGCAAAATTGTCGATGAATCACTGATTAACTCCTAAACTACTAATCCGGTTGGAAAATATCTTTTACGTAAAAGATAGTAAATTTAATAAGCTACACTGTTGTAGAAAGAAATTTTCACGCAAAAGTAAAGCGCAAAATTGAATTTGCAATTTAAATTATTACCACAAAAATTCTGAATAAGTTGTTAAGTTACTTAATTACATCCTTCATTTTATCAACATTGTAAGCAAGAAATAAGTATTTATGTATATGTATATATTGCATTAATAAAACCAAGGTATAACTTTACATCTTGTGTTTTTTTTTTTTTTTTTAATAGTACATGCAATTTTTTTGTTAGACATTGCACCAAACTCACAAAATGAAAAGTAATATTATATCACAAAACACTTTACTTCACACGTCATAAAAAATACTTGAACCTATATTTGCATGTAAAATAAATTACCGTTAAATGCCTGTAATTTAACGTTATTTGACAAGTTGATCCCAAAACTGACACTGGGCTCTTTTTCGAGGTTAATTGAGATAAGCTTCACTTTTCTGTAGGGGTATATGCTTCGGTCTTCCAGGCTGCGGTAATTGCAATACTCAAAGCCATGGACTACGTGGTGGAACATAGGCGGAGGGAAAGGAGGTTACGTGACTGCAGTGACAAACAAGCTGCACTTAAGGCATTGACCAGCAATGCAAGTCTCGACTAAAATATGATGGTGAACATAACGAGGTTGTTTTACTCTGGGTACCAGGTCACTCTGGAGTATCTGGTTATGAGACATTTGATCATTTGGCCAGAGTTGGCTCAGACCAGACATTCCTCGGTCCACAACCAGTTTTAGCACTCCGGACCTTCGACCATCGAAGCCACCATCAGAAAGTGGGTGGATACTTCGCTCACAAATGACTGAGAGGCATCGAGGGGATGCAGGTGGGCAAAACTCATGTTGCCTTCAATCTACCAAGATCTATCTAATTTTTTGCTCTGACTGAGCAGACGACACTACAGACAACTTGCTAACACAAATAAACTATTTTACATATACTCCACATGCAAAGTCATGAGTGAGCCGAATATTTTATGAGTTTATGGGGAAGATAATGTAAATAACGCTAGCGCTCGCAGTGCTCTTAAAAAATATAACTCTTCCGAGCGAGAGAGCATTTTGATGTATTTACGAGCTCTATTTTTTAAAACCTACATTTTTTTTTATAAATAGAACCCAAGAAAATATTTTACTTTTATTTTGGCTACTCTGAGTTTAGTTTTTGTATTCACCCGCGATGCAAATTTACATTGTTAGATCTAATTTTCAAATTTAATTTTCTTACAAGCTTTGGGAATATTTAGAAATGTATCAGCAGGGGGTCCACCGAAACCAGTAAATTTTTGAAAGGGGTCTACGAGAAAAAAAGTTTGGGAACCTCTGTTCTATACCGACAAAAATATACCCCTAATTTTTACCTTCCTTTAATTAGCTCGGGATGTAACTATGTAATATTGATGCGCCTAAAAGATGCAGCGATTTCTATTCTCAAGTTACAATTGAATTGAATTGATTGGCAATTATAATAGGGAGGTTTTAGTTTTTTAAACTATAATTTTATTTATTTTGAAATCAAAAAATATTTAGAGGTCGCTCAAAGCGCTCAAAGTTTTGCATGTGTTTCATATGGGGAAAAAAACATTTTTCGTAGAAATGGTATAGAATTCTTGAAAATCAATATTTTTCGATCGGAAAACCCCATTTCTCTTCAGAAGATTCCCAATAATAATGCCCAATTGTAAGTGTAAGACGCTTAGTTTTTGATTTGATCATTACATTTATTAGTGAACTTGACTTTTAAACCCAGATATACATATGTATGTATGTATGTCTTACTTCAGTTTCAAGATATCAAGTTAAGGTTAAATTAGCTAGCCCCCAATAACAATTGTGACCATGTTATAATTACTATTACTTTTCATAAATGTTCTTTAACATACTACTTAACTCATTTAACACAAACCTTTTTCTAGCGTCGGAAAATGGGCAATGCAGTTTGGTGATGAGTTGTGGGAATTAGCGCAGCGTATGACCAAATCTCAGGAGATTAAGGCTGTAAGTACGAAACAACACTGAGTAACAAAAGCAGACTTCAATTGCCTCTTTGTCATTTCGAAAAATTTTTTCCCACAGAAATACAAGGAATACAATGCCCGCGTCGAGTTAAAAAATGGCACCGAACTCATTAAGTCCATCACAGCGAACGTGGGGCGTATGTTGTCACGTAAAATGGACGCTGTACGTTGTATTCAACAGAAAGCCGAAGCGGTCAACGAAGAATTCGAATTTAATTACACAGCAGCGGAGCAGACCTTTCAATACTACTCCAGCAAGTTTTCGATGTTTGAAGGCAAGCGAGCAGAAGATTTGGTAGAAAGTATGGAAATGTACGATCGGTGGTACTTGAATTTCACACTGAATCCAGATACGCACTTTTATAATATATCTGTGGATACAGAGCATAGTTCCGTCCATGTACCCTCGAATATATTTGATGGCAGTAAGTTGCATTTGGAGCTTAAGCTTTCAATTGAAGAACTCATTTTTCATTTTCCACTCTACCTGCAGGCCGCGATGTGCTCAAAACAATTATGTGGTCTGAAACGCTGGATGAGGTCTTCAGGCAAAACTATCAATCGGATCCAGCGTTGTCGTGGCAATATTTCGGCTCCGATACTGGCATATTGCGGCACTACCCCGGCCTACAATGGCAGAAGATTGGCAATCGTGAAAATGCCGACACCTATGATTGCCGCAAACGTTCGTGGTATATTGAAACTGCCACCTGCTCCAAGGATATTGTCATACTATTGGACAATTCTGGCTCGATGACCGGTTTCCGCAATCATGTTGCCAAATTTACGATACGCAGCATTTTGGATACTTTCTCGAATAATGATTTTTTTACGATTTTCAACTACTCAGCAACCGTCGATGACATAATTCCGTGCTTCAAAGATGCCCTGGTACAAGCGACGCCAGAGAATATCAACGTATTTAATGATGCTATTGAGGACATAGAACCGGAGGGTTATGCGAATCTATCACTGGCGTATGAGAAAGCTTTTCAACTGTTGAAAAAGGTAAGCGCGATGAAGTCGTGTGCAAGCAAAAATAATTTCTAATTTAACTCTGACAAACGTAGTACTACATTCAACGCCGCTGCAACGAAACCTCCACCTGCAATCAAGCCATCATGGTCGTCACCGATGGCGTTGCTGGCAATACCACCGAAATTTTTGAAAAATACAACTGGGGCGATGGCGAGAATGGCACAATGAATATGAATATACGCATCTTCACCTATCTGCTGGGGAAGGAGGTGACCAAAGTGCGTGAGATACAATGGATGGCATGCCTGAATCGCGGCTACTATTCGCATGTACAAACACTGGATGAGGTGCACGAGGAGGTGCTGAAGTATGTAGATGTGATAGCTACGCCGCTGGTGCTGCAAAATGAGGAACACCCACCGACATGGACGCACTCGTTTACGGATCGAACGGTAGGAGGGCTTTAGAAAGCGCATGCAAGTTGATCTCTAATTTGTTGATCTCTGATTTTTAATTGCAGTACGAACCGCGCGAAAACGATACTGGCACACGTCTTATGATCGCTGTGGGCGTGCCGGCCTTTGATCGTTCTTATCGTGAAGAAAACTCCACGAGGCGCGCACGTTTGCTGGGAGTAGCAGGCACGGATGTGCCGGTGGAGGATATCGACAAATTGACGCTGCCTTATAAGGTAATAGGAAACCTGAAATATCTTTTTCAAAGTCTTTTCTTAAGCCCAATAAGCTCTCAATACTTAAAAACCCCAAGAAACGCAAGTAAGTAGCACTGCTGATAAATGTCGGTAGAGAAGTATAAACTGATACTGAGTAAATATAACAGTGGTGCTTGCTCAGAATGAGGCGCCCTGGACAGATCTTTTAAAAAATATTTGCTCCAAAGTCGAATTTGATCTTACTATTGATATCCGTTATAGGATCATAAAAAGCTCCATACTCTACGATCTGCCTATTCTGACCGTGCTTTGGGTAGCCCACCCTGATAGTCCTACATAGTTCAGAACTTTCTCCGTTTCGACATCAAATTCTGGGATGCTTTCTCTACTCTGTTTTGGAACTTTGGAACTTGTCGCTATCATGGCTGTGCTGTGAAAAACCACCATCTAGGACTGTACTTTATATCTAACTTTGACAATTCGCGGATATCAGAATTGGCCTTCTCTTGATAGCCTGCCCATAAAATTCCATCTACTTATGGTTTAACATTCCTAACGCTTCACTGAACTCCGAGCCCTATAACTAGTACTTCACACACAAGATTGTGAATATTGAAGCTATTCATCTGAGCCATTGTTGGGTATCGTAATCTTTTTAACGATTATCCCATCAGACCCCAGCCCGAGGCAAGGAACAAAACAAAAACATGTCAATGCTAAAATCCTTATATCCGAATAACTCGCTAAACCTTGGACAAGTTTTAAAGTTCCTTTTCTTTAGCGGATACTTTTAGACAGACCCCGCGTCTTAGTTGAAATGAAGCTTGTACTGAAAGTTAGATATATCCCTGCTAAATACAAGGATTATCCGTTATTATACGGGATTTTCTTAGAAAAAGTGTTCGAGTTATTGTTCTGGCAAGGGACCGACGCTATTAACGCGGTAATTATTCTGTTCATTACAGTTGGGCGTAAATGGTTATTCATTTGTGGTCTCCAACAATGGTTACATGCTACTCCATCCCGACTTACGTCCGATTTCGGTAAGTTAAATCCTCGTCTTCCGATAAAGAAAGCCTCACTTATTAACCAATATTCTCTAGAAAACCGGCAAGTTCAATCCAAATTACAACAGCATAGATTTCACCGAAGTGGAACATCTGTACGAAGACTTAGAGCCACGTCAGGCGGGCGAGTCTATACTTCTACTGCGTAACGCTATGGTGCAATACCAATCCGGTGAATTTAAGGACATAAGCGTCAAGTTTCATTATGACAATATGCGTCGAGTGTCTGAAGAGAAGCAGGATTACTTCTTTGCACCGCTGCCGAACACACCATTTTCGCTGGGCATCGTACTGCCGAGTGAGTATGGTAAGACATGGATTAAGGTAGGCGAGGAAGTGTTGAAGAACAAGCATATGAAAGTTAATATTTCGGACTACTTTGCGGGGGACAACTGGAAGGTGCATCCTAGTTGGTAAGTTGAGTTAAAAAAAAATGTATTCATATGTAAGTTGTAAGGTAAAACTTTCTCTGTTTAGGGTTTTTTGCAAGTATCACTACCTGGAGGGGCACGAGTTCAAAACACCGGAAGAGGAATTGCGTCACTTTCTTGCCAAAATGATGCAAGACGATTGGAAATGGTCCGAGCAGTACGAGGAGGACGAATCTGATCGGGATGACAATGAAGAAAGTGAGTGGACAGATAAATGAAATAACTCTTAACTACAAAGTATTTCTTCGCACACTTCGCATATTTCAGTAAATTGTGGTCGAATAACACTCAACGAAGATGCCTACTATTGCAACAAAGAACTCGTGCATCTGCTCATCTTCGATGCGAAAGTTACAAACTCCAGTTACGGCCAGTGGAAATTCGCCAACGAGGAAGAACGCAATTTGATTCAAAGTTTTGGTGCTACTTTACGCTTCGTCGCCACTATGAGTGGCTTAACGCGTTGGCAGTTCATCTACGGCGAAGTGGAAGTGGAAAATGATCGCGAGTTTGGCGACTATCATACCACGGCGATTGATGAGACCTGGTACAAAAGCGCCATTTTGCAGCATCATCAGGAACGCACCGAGAGCTTTGTTTATATGGTCAAACATGCCAGCGATCCGGTGGAGGATAGTGAACTGATGATAACTGCTTCACATGCGATATTCCCACGTGATGGTGGTAAGGAGGCACCCGCTTGTGTAGTCGGTTTTCAATTTTCACATGCGCGAATGGTGGATCGATTCTTCAATATCACCTCGGTGGATAACGTAAGTGGTTTGCAAATATTTTTGAATACATATTTTTATACCCGAGCGCACTTGTGCACAAGGGTATATTAATTTTGTTCACATAACGGTTGTTTGTAACAGCCAAAACGAATCGAGGTAGATATAGACAAATGTATACATAAAGGCTCAGAATGAATAGAGAAATCGATTAAGCCCTGTCTGTCTGTCCGTCCGTCTGTCCGTCCGTCCGTCCGCCCGTCCGTCCGCCCGTCCGCCCGTCCGCCCGTCCGTCCGTGTGCACGACAACTCGAGCAAAAATTGAAATATCTCAACGAAATTTGGTATGTAGGTTTCCGTTAATCCAAGGTAGGTTGGTATTGAAAATGGGCGAAATCGGACTGTAACCACGCCCATTTCCCATATAACGGTAATTTCCAGAAATACGAAAACTTCGATATTTTAGTAACTACTGAAGATAATTCACTCAAAATTGACATTTAAAATAATTTTCAGACGAAAAATAAGAATATTATAAAATTTTGGAAAATGGGCGTAGCCACGCCCACTTATGGTCACATGTGTACATCTTGGTAAC